TCCAGTAAGTGGAGTAGAGGAGGGGGAATCACATACGGCTGGGATCCACTTCCACGACGGACGCTGAGTACAGCTCGCTCCCCCGCCCTCCCCCCTCGCTCCTTCGCGAGGAAGGTGAGGTCATATGTGCAGCTGTGGGGAGGGCAGGGAGTGGGACAGAGACAGACAGAGAGCGCGCGAGTGTGCACCTTCTCTTTGGAATGGCCTCGGATGCTCCTCTGCCCCTACCATCCGATTGGGTTTGTGTCGGTAGTCGGGGGCGGGGGGAGGGAGTGCTCTGTCTGAGCGCGGTGCGGCTCGGCGCAGGTACTAATACTAATTGATATGGGGAGAGGGAGGAGCTCATCCAACTTTAAGTCCAGATCGCACGGATTGGCTCCGAATGTTGGCGTGCTCCGGCGAGGTGCCGGGGGCCTACGTTGCGCAGCAGCACTGCCGATCCAAACAAAAGAAAGTCGCCGAGACTGGAATCTGTGTCCGGCTGGCTGCGGCCTGCGGCGTGGAGCTGCGCGGGGGCTGCGGCTCTGTAACCGAAGGACTGCGTTTGACGGCGAGAATAATAGGAAGCGAGACTGGAGCTGGCGGGCTGCCTGGAGACGTAAGTGTCGGGGGGTGGGAAAGAGAAGTGCTCAGCAAAAAGCCTTCCCCCCCTCATCAGAAAAAAATATTGGATGTGGCTTTTTTTCTCTCTCTATCTCTCCCTCCCGCTCTCTCCGAGCTTCGTAACCTTTAACCTCGGGATTATAGTTTTGTGGGCACTCACGGTACGGTGCATTGCGGTACAGCAGGGCCTTGCACCTGCACCCCTGTTCACCGGGGGTCACAGGGGCGGTGCGTGTGTTCATCGGGAGTTACAGGGCGGTGCGTGTGTTCATCGGGAGTTACAGGGGCGCTTCGTGTGCTCGTCCTTCGCTCTGCTTTCAAAGCAAACAATGGCACGGCGTGTACACGGTGGAGCACGGGAGAGCGTGTGTGTGAGAGGGAGGGAGAGAGAGAGGTAAGGTTTAGAGGAGGATTCCGTTTGAGAGGGGCGTGTACTCTAGTGCCTGCCAGAGGGCTCTCGCAGGCGCTCGCGTACCTACAGGAGTACGTCCTGAGCTCGCTTCCGGGCCCTCGGCCGGGTGTCCTGCAGGCCGCTGTGCCTCGGCTCTGCCGCCCGCTGTCGGGGCCGTGCCGTATCTTTGATCCGCCGCCCCCGCCGCTGTGCACAGCAGGGCAGCCCTCGAGCCCCGGCCGGGGCGGGCGGGGGCGGGCGGGCTGGAGAGGAGGGTGGCCCTTG